GACATCGTTTCCAAATTTTAATTTTAAATTATTTTCGAAGTTAAATCACACTTCCTCGATTTACTTTCCATCTTCTCCTATAATGATTCTAAACAGATCGCAGACTTTTCAACAAAATAGAAATTGTCTGCATCAATTTTACAGAGCAGAAATTAAATGAAGATGTATTTTTTCTTTTAATAGTTTCAGTAGGTTAAAAATAGTGTGAAAAGATTCTTAAATTCTTCTGATCTTTTCCTTGCACATTTTTCTTATTAACCAAATTTTGCCATAAATGCATAAAATTCGCTGTCCAATTATAAAACTAATTTGGTAGAAACAAGTGTTCATAAAAGATCGGCAACAATAGCGTTCAATCGTCAATATCGAAATTCAGTTGTAATACATTTGTTTTACCATACATTATTAAGATAACTAAGTATACCAATGTTATTTTACACACCCTGCGCGAACACTTGATGACGTGTGAACACTTGATGACTTGATCAGGTGTGTAAACGATTACGTAATGATAAACACAAGTGTGAAGACGAATCAATGAACGATTTGAAATTGGCACGCATTTGACATTTTATTTTGAACCTGGCTCGATAGAGATTCTGAAAAGAAAAGAAATGCTGTCATGCCGGGACGTATTATGGTACCTCGTCTTCTGCGGCTTTGCTATCAACTACATGTTGAGGATCAATTTGAACCTAACGATAGTGACGATGGTGATACCTCATACTAATACCGCAACTGCCCAGTGCGAATTAGACATCACAAATCCGACTTTGAATAAAACGATTCTTTACAACGATACACTTACGTCAGCCAACGTCACGGTATGTAATAATTAAATAAGATCCTTTAATTGAATTTATTTACTCTCGAATCAATGTCTATAAGACTTTGACAAATCAGAATAATCTATTTATTTATTTGCAGTAATCCCTTAGTATTGTTTAGTTAATCAGTAAATTTATTTAGAAGAATTATTATGTTGAAATAAACTTAACTAATATATAAGAAAATACAAAACTGCATCGGTGAATATCAGAATATTCAAACACTCGAATGGCGGACTATTTTGACAAAAATGTTACTTACAATTATTATGCTTAGGAGCACTTATAATTTCATATATCATCTTTGATCAATGCAGTTTTTGAGGCACTCCTTTCAAACAAATTAGTTTTTCTACAGATTTTATGAAACGTGTGAAAATGTGAACGAATTTTCTGGAACTAGATAACCAGATAACAATATTTATAATGTGGATATAAATAGACCTAATACATGGAATTCTATTGCAATAAAATAAAATAAAATCGGAAACTTAAATGTCAGCGTATTCTGAATTTACAGCAAATGATATTGAACATAGTGTGACAGAATGAAAATTGTAGCTAATATAATATATGATTAAAATTAATATATTATTAATTTTTGAATATTTAGATTTAATATTATTTTTGAGAGAGAATAAAAATATTGATTAGAATAGCATGATTTC